GCGCGAGGTGTCATAAATCTCGTAGCCGGCACGCGAGCCCGTCCACGACGACAAGACGATGACTACGACTAATCCTACTTCCGAGCGTCCCAGTTTCTTCGTTTCAACGGGGGGCTTAAAGATTCATCGATGCAGCAACGTCGCAAGTAGGTCAAACGCAACAAGAAGCCCGTGACTTCAATTACTCTTTGCGTGAACGCGCGCGTATTGCAAAAAAAAAAAAAAAGCAGGCGGCGATTCTGAATTTTCACAAAATGCGAAAACTGTTACTCAAGATGATAAGAATAATTCGATCCTCGGATCAAAGTTTGTTCAAAGCAGGCGGAATTATATACGTTGCGGACTAAACGCAATTAATGCTTGCAGAGAAAATCGATTTTAAAAATTGAAAAATTTTTTGACATCAAAGTATCGCAAATATTAATTTTGTTCCAATATACTCAACAATCATCAGTTACAAATATCAGTTACAAAGCAACGTCAATCTAAATAAAGCTCTTCGTAAAATGCGCTTTGGTATCGGAATACCTTCTGTTGCGGGAAAAGAGGAAGAGAAACGCGTCGGAAGATCGGACTTTGCATGGAACCACGAAGCCTCACCATTAGGAGTCCGCCGATGCCATTAGCGCCGCTGTGAGTGATAGACGCCAACATTAGCCGTCTGGCGACTCGTAACTTTCGCGGCTATCCGCGCTATTATCCCCGCGAAGGTGACTCCTCTCGGATCGGTCCGATCTCGCCGTGCCGTCTGTCCGAAGGTTCGCCTTTCAGGTTTGCTTTTAACGGGCACCCCCGCGGTCTCTCTTCTATATCTTCTGCCGCCGCTCTTCGAGGCCTCGACGACAACGACGAGAGGAGAAAGATGCGAGAAGAGAGTCGCGCGGCGAAACGACGGAGAAAAGATTCCACGACTGCCAAAGGAACAGGCGACGAGCACGAGACTCACGAGAGGAATCCACGACTATCGGAAGCGATCGCCAAATGCACCGGCAATAATTTACCCCCCGTATCCTCCCTCCACCCTCGTCGAGATCGGCCGTCGAGAGTCCTCTTCTCGCGTCGTCTCTCGAACCTCTCGCGGAACATCGCACCGCTCGGCTGCTGTGGGAAGAGTATCGGAGGGGCCCCGTTAGGCCCGTTTCACAGGTCGCGGAATTTTCTTCTACGGTACGGTATATATGCACGGGAGAAGCGAGAGGCGAGGGTGACGTCAAGATATACGGCATGTGTATAGTCGCCGTATAAGCGTCGCGCCTACTTAATTTAATTCTCTCTGTATGTATATATCTACGGATTTTAGATGGATATTTCCAACTTGCTAGATGGCATAGCTTTCTCGCGCTTTCTTGAGATCATTCTTATTTCTTCTCTCAGATTTCGCACAAATAAAAATTTAAACATTCACAAACGTTTATAAATAAAATGTTTTTGTTCAAATTCTATTTACATGGGGGTAAACATATTGGTACAAGAAAATTCATACGCAAAATGTTATTCATAAGCAAATTCAATAACATATATATATCTCGATCAGAGATGTGTCAAATTAATTGAATAGATATTTTTAATCGATTGCAGAAAGTCTGATCTCGACGTTGCGATCTCAAAAGTATCTTTGAGAATTACATTTGATATGATATAATTATACTTTTACGCAACTGGTGTTCTATAGCATAATGGACGCTTATATTATTGTACACGCGTGTATCTTTTATCGATCTTTCGGTTTGAATAAATACTTTTACTATAGCGCGACAAAACACGACGCGTGTCAATGTCGATGACAAACAATTCGCGATTGGCTGGCGGCCACATTAATCAGAGTATATCTCGCCCGATCGAAAATAATTTAAGATCTATTGTGTCGTTCGACGTCGCGCTATCTGATAAAAAGTTCGCTCGCATGAAGCAAGTCTTAATGCTAGCCCCGTGCGCATGCCAGAGGAGAATAGCAGTAAAGGCATTGTTAGTAGTGCGCGTCCCGTTACTTTGTTGCATTTGACAGCGATAGCAACGAAGCAACGAAGATGGCCTGCGGCGATGACTATCGATTTCACGGAAAAACCATGAGCTTTTATATACTACGATTAAATAGACGTTTCATTCACCATCGGCGTTAAACAGTTACGGCACTGGTGCTTGCTTAAAACACATTTCCCTCTATCAAACCTATCGTAGTACATAATTCATTCACGATTAGCCGAGTTGTCGCTAAATATGAGATACTTCTCTTCTTCTCGCGACTTCTGGTTAACACTGGACGTTTTATTTCTGTACAAATAATTGCATTAATTGAGATTCCAAATCACAGACACAAAAAACGCTCAATAATATAAATTTGAAACAATCAAAAGTGTAACATAATATTATTAATTGACGATAACTTAAATTCTACAACGTGTAGCTGCACCGAAATAATTTTGTCTGTTATATTAGACTCGCGCGATCGATAAGTGGTGTGCCGGATTGAAATTCTTGAAGTAGGTACGTACGTTCTCTCGATTGCGGAACGCCACGTTGATGAAAAGAACGCGACGAATTAAAATTTAGATCATCAGAATGACGATCCCGCATCCCCGTGGGATCGCGTCTCTCCCAAGAAGTTCTTCTTCTCTCAGCGGAACGATCGCACGCAAAACGATCTCTCTCGCGCGCGCGCGCGCGCGTACGCGCGACTATAAATATTGCACCGACGGCACGACCAGGTACACGCCGCTCTTCGCGCAGTTATACCGGTACCCGCGCCGTAATATTGCATCGCGAACAGCCGGTGGAAGAGGAGGACGGTCGAGATTAGTTCCGATTGCCGCCGCGCCAGAGGAGTTTACAGGAAGGGCTCTCTCGCTCTCTGACGATGCGCGCGTTCGCCGCTCGGCCAGGCATCGATCCCCGGACTACCGGCTGCTGCTCTCCTCTGCCCGTTAATGAGTCATGTTTAATTGGCGTGGGAAGCCCGCGGCTTACGTCCATGTAACGGAATTGAACCGTACCTGATGCACCCGGCGCGTTAAATGTCTCCCGTTCTACCTCACGAGAGAGTGAAATATATATACATATATATATATATACACACACCAGCGAAGCCGCAGCAGTCGCGTGTTCTCTCCGCGGAGAGACACACCGCGCACTTGAACGAGACCAATTTGCCATCCCCGAGGAAATTATGCCAACGTAAAAAAGACGTCGTTTATTCTTTTTATTTATTGTCACGCAAACTTAAATAGTGCGAAATGATGTCTGTTATAAATGCTTTCGAAAGCTACAAATTCTGTGACCAATCGCGAGCAAATTTGCAAAAAGTCGGCGCCATCAACTTGTGATTTCACATCGCTCGCGCCTGATTTGACGCGTGCCAGCCGCGAGGCGCATCGACACACCGGAAATACTGTCCGTAACAGATGGTACGCGTCGCGAGATCGGCTCCGCACATTTGCGCTGCCCGAGGCGGAGGATTAAACTTTTTTCCCGTTACATTCCACTTTTTTTTTTGGTCACAATATGTGCGCAACTCGTCGATTTTTCTTATTATTAACAACATTGATTAAGCTTATGCCGACTATTGAAGGTCTGGTGTGATGCCGCCGCGCACCGGCCGAGTGCGACACCCATCGACCGTGTCCTTCAAAGACCGTATTTGCCGTTTCTGCAATAAGCCACCGCGTAACAACCGCGCGTCGTACGCGCGTAAAACGCGACGGATCTCGCGAATGTGTTCTTCGGAGTAACGACGATTCTCTATTTTCGTTTCGTGAAAGGATCCACGCGATATTTCATGTCACGGACACGAGCGAGAGAGTCGCGTTTTATTACCGCGGCCGTGGTGTGTTGCTTCATAGAGCGGCGGGCGCGTACGCATTGCCGCTTTGCTCTAACGACAAACTACTGATTCAAGGAAGCGCTTGCATTGAAAATGGAATCAGATTACTTTCTAGTTGGAATTACACATAAAAAAGATATAAACATAAAAGTCAAAATAATTCCAAAACTAAGGTCGAAATGTAAATAAACAAATAATTTGTACAAAATTCGATTGATAAATTTTTTAAATACAGTAGATAAATAAATTTTTTTTTCCCCGAAAAGTATAAACACACAGCTATTTGTAATCGCGTCAAGATTTGCGATCGATAAAAAAAATGCCGATCAAAGATAAGATGATTCGAATACCGTTTGTCGCCGGGATTCGCACGTTTGCATCGTTAGAACGCAGAGAGGAAACAGTATCTGGCGAGTTTAGAGGCGCAGCGATACACACGTTTGTGTTCCTTCTCTCAGTTGCGGCGGCGTGCGCGACGTAATATGCATCGCGAATGCCAACACGAGTCACACCCATCATAGAGAGCCTGTGGGTGGCGCCATGTACTCGCGAATAAGTCGTACGACCGGCATCCACGACGAACCCGCGAAGTGCTTCACGAAGCGCTCGGAGCTACGAATCGCTCGTTATTATACGTATGCATCGTCCATCCGAGGCGAGATTTTATCGGCATGAATAATCGCGCGGAAATTTTAAATGTCCGTTAAGAGCAACGACACCTGATCGTGCGACGATGACGTATTCTGCGAATAACTGTACGTCTTCGATTTTTCAGACAAATATATTTTAGCGCGATGTAACGTATCGAGAAAAAAAATGGTATGGCCGATTTTGTTTGCTGCAGGTTTTTTAAATCTGTAAATGTACATGTGTTCTCTAAAAAAAAGTAGTTTTTACAGATTTTTCTGCGGGTTTTATGTGAAAAGAATAGAAAAGAAAGAAAATGTTATATATGTAAGATAAACATATCGTGTCATCTGAAGGTTAAAATGTTTTATATCTGTATAATTTTTTTGCGGAGATAGTTCTTAAATGACGTCGCGATGCAATGTCGAACGGAGAATAGAGCGCATTTCTAGTTTATATTATCTTCGAAACGTCAAAATAGGCACAGTCGGAAGAAAGTCGACTTTGGCTCACCTCCCTAGACGTCGGTGCCCCCAGGACGCAGGGACTGTCCGGGCGGCGGGGCGCGCTGGCCCACCGCTTGCTCGAGAGCTCGCTCTCCTCCTGAAACAATAAACGTGACCTGTAATTAGACAAGACGAAGGCAAAGGTGATAGGCGGCGGAGTCTGATGAGCGCTATTATTGCAATCGTAATGGCCGCCTTGGAAACGAAATTGCTCTTCGCAGAAAATTAACGGAGAGAGGAAGAGGGACTAAAGGGGATGGGAACAGTCGTGGTATATAAATTGTGTGGTATCCTTAAACATGGAAATTCTAACCGCGCGTGCAAAAGAAGTTCAACTGAGAATTTTTCTTTCTTCGGAGGAGAAAGTATTTATAGTTGAATAATGATCGTCATCAAGCAATCAGACGTCGAAAATGATGGTGTAGTACGCATAGATGTAAATAACCGTTTGCGTGATACGGTGTGTGCATGAGCGTGGGCACAGGTTTCATTTCAGTGCGTTTCAATGTGAATGGAAGCGCAGCAACCGCAAATTTACGTGCGCTCTCGCTCATCAATCGGGATACTACATATCGACTTCCATTACGTCGATTATATTGCGACGATCAAGATTTGTTAATACTCAATTTCCTCGACTTCCTTGAATGAAGGCTGTAGGTGCAACACCGTGCGGTATTTATTAACAGTATATATATACAGTATATATATATTTATTTATTAACAGTATATATATACAGGATATAAATTGTCAAATTAACAATCGTTTCTCAAGAGTGCACAAGTAACATATAATTTTTATTCCTGCAAAGAAGAGCCGTAGCAGTAAAAACAAAAGCAACCAATATTATATATGTAAATATTTCTTTATATATATGTATATATATTTATATATATATTTGAATAAATTTTTATATATAACGCATATACATGTGTATATGCGTTACAACACATCTGTGATAATGTTCTTTCCCCTGTGTATGAAAACGTGAATCAGTGCGGCAATATACAATTTAGAATAGTGCTCTGCGACACGATTAAAGCGTGCCTCGCGGCACGAAATGGCAAAATCACGCTAATTGGTCAATTATACAAAGTCATTCGAAATAAAACGGTAGAAAAAAAAGAGATTCCGAGAAAACTGTCTTTTTTCTGCCTTCGAGATTTTACAATATCGAAATAGATTAAATTATCTCCGTACGCGGATAATTCGACGCGAACTATCAGCGCATTCACTTGACAGTGTGTCTGTTTTCTAGAACTCGATTGACAATCTCTTTTGTTAAGTTTTTCCAAAAATAAATATTTCTCTCATAGAATTACACATCAAACTTGTTGCACGACTATTACGTTTTTTTATAACTGTTATATATAATTTTTTGTAATATAATTTAAACTGTTATATTTATTTAAATTGTTTTTTTCCAGAATATATACATACATTATATATATATATATATGCATACACATATACGTTAAAATTGTGTTGAAACAAAGTAACCAAGATAATTTGCAAATCAAAAAAGACTATAATTTGTCATGCGACGTCGAGTACTGTAAGCGCAAGTTGTGATTCGCAAGTATCTGGCGCAATCTCTCGGTTGACATAGTCCGGTGTTTCGCTGTATACACGTGAAGTTGTCTTCTAGCGGCGCGCACGCGAGTGCGGTTATTAAAACGTTAAAACAATTATGGCTCGGCTCGTGACACACACGAGTCAGAGAAAGAGAGCAAGAAAGAGAGAGAGAGAGAGAGAGAGAGAGAGAGATGGAGAGAAGGAGCTAGGCAGCGCGGCGAGAAGTAATTGCGCCATCGTTTCTTGCCATCTCGACGTATGTACGACAAATCGCGACGACGCCCGCGACGATGCATTATGTGCCTCAACCGCACCGCTCGCTCGCGCGAAAGGCGAGACCACCCGCGTTCAATGCGACAATGAAACAATCATGAAATACAGACCAGTGCTGATCGATGGTGGGAACATTGCGATCGCGTTATTCGCCTACGGCTTACGCAAGCGGTGGCGTTAATTGGTTAGGTCTTTAATATAAAGCGAGCTCGATCAAACCAAATATTATTCTTTTAATCGCGATTGAAATATCATGTGACTGTTCTGGTACAGAAGTTGAATCGTAATTTAAAAAAAACATCCTGCAATACAAAATGAAATTAATTTATATATATGTATATATATATATATATATATATTGAAAATTTACAAATATGCACAAATGTAGATAAGTTTATATAATCGATTTATCTCTGATTTTGTTGTGGTATTTTCAATTTTATTATAAGAATCGTATATAGCAATATAACAGCATGTTATTTTCTCCAATTATGGATGATAATATAACATATGGCGTGTGTATCGCACTCCTATACAACCAGGTTTCTTATTGAACAAATTACTTTCCCTATTGATAATCCCGCACGGCGGTCACGCTGGATTTACGAGACACGTTGTCGTTCTTATACAGGACGAATTAACTCGTTCCTCCTCGTAAAGTTAAAGCCGCGTGATTTAGCAGCGTGGCTAAAAGGGTGAAAATGGATTGCATACGTACGTTACGGCGAACGACCACCGCAAGTCCGCGGCGTCTATACCCGCAAAACACGAGATACGTCATTATCGTCTCGTTATTTATTATTACATATTGCATTATTACGGGGCGGGTGTGTGCACAAGCGGACCGGTGTTACGTTTTACTTTCGCTGGATTTCTCCTATTTTCTGTAATACCGCGAGATTACGCGCGTCGCGGAAATTGAATCGGCGGCGCCTTTGGACGCGCCGTAAAACGTACGTGTCGAAACGCGCGCCGAGCGGAAAACGCATCGTTCTTCGCGACTCGGCGTCTCTACCCTCCCCCCCCCGTTGAAAACGAAAGTTCGCGGAAATCTGATGACGATTCGTTTACTTCCGCGAGTTGAAAACGAGAATGCACGCCGAACGGTTCACGTTAACACATTTGGCGCGCGGTCGGGAAACGACGATCCGTGTAATTTAATGCAAGAGATCCGACGCGCCACTCACGTAGCACATCGTTCGTATTACAATGTTGTTACATTTGGATCTTTGGACGTGGGCGTTATATGTACAAACTCGCTGATAGAAACGTGAAACATCGCGAAACCAGTTTCTATACCGAGAAAATGTGGACGCGAGTTAAATACGTTCTCAGGCACCTTTATGGACGCGCATTTCTGTGATGCACTTTATTTAAGACAAGTAATGATATATGGAAACGTTACGCTCAAGTCGTATATCTTGCGAATGTGATATATAAAGCTACTCTAGATAATCTTGTTAGAGAAAGGACGCATTGCTCGAAATTGTAATTCTTACGTAAAACAGAAATAATAATAATAAATAAGAGAAATTTGGAAACAAAAATATAAAAAATGTTAAAGCAAGCCAGACACAAGCGTGTATCTCGCTTAAATCTTAATAAAAAAAAAACTTAGTAAAAAATGTATGGTTTAAATAATATACAGTTAAAAAGTGTATAGTTTGTTAATTGTTATCTTATTCAAAATTATCGTTCGATAAGATAAAAATAGTTTTTTGTTTATGTAGTAAACCGAGCGCAAGACTAAATTTATTGCTCTCTCTCTCTCTCTCTCTCTCTCTCTCTCTCTCTCTCTCTCTCTCTCTNCTCTCTCTCTCTCTCTCTCTCTCTCTCTCTCTCTCTCTCTCTCTCTCTCTCTCTCTCTCTTCAGAATTCAATTTATATACGACCAACTCTTAGAATAAACAGAACGTTTTATTTATATTAAAAGATCCCCGTTTCTCGACGTATTTATGATTTCTTGGCACGCGAATCCACATCGCCCACGCCTAAAAAACCTTCACTGAAATATTCACGAAGCTCGCCCCCGTCGCGATTCATGGCGCTTTTGCATCGCGACAGAATTTCTCGCAGAACGCGAACGATATAAGAGAAAATTTCTAATTAACTTACGGGAAAACACACACTATGGAGTTCCGAGGCAAATCTCAGCAGCGCTGTGCCGCTGTTCTAACGCGACGCGATAGGTAAAGGAGATTGTTAATTAAACAGATAAGAGATCTTCCAGACACAAAGTAGTTAAGATACTTTAATAAGGCAAAGCGAGCGCGCGCGTTTTGCACAAACGCGTTAACGTTAGATTCGCGATTACGTGCAAATTAGATGCCGTTTAAAAGTCACCGCGCAAAGAGGAAGAGGAGGAGTGGAATTTTTCACTTGGCTCGCGAATCAGATCTGCCTTTTAATTGTGTGTTAACCGACACGCGTATTGCGAGCGGCAATTACACAAGTGTGTAAACGTACGCGTTCACGCATTGTACACGCATCGCGCTCCTTGCTTGCTCGTTCCCACGCCGTCTTTAGACCGCGGTTAATAGATCGGAGCTTCGAAAGCTCGAGAGCATTCTGAGATAAGAAAGTTTCAAATGTAATCCCTTTCGCGCGCGTGCGGTGTGTGTGTGTGTGTGCGTGCGTAAGTTGCGCCAATCCGGTGCACCGTAAATTATAACTTACGGTCATAAAAGCAGGACTATGAAAGTGATTTGCAACGCGGTAAGAAGAAAGATATCTTTTCTCTCTCTCTCTCTCTCTCTCTCTCTCTTATCTCTTGTGCCCGATTACGTTTTTCGCGCTATTCCGAAGGAGGAGAGCCTCTTGAAATAATATATGAAATTATCGAGAGAAAAGTGCGCAAAACACGCGCGTGAACGAGTTTTGCTGGCGCCCCGTTCTGTATAGGAACGCTCGGTAGCACTCCGGTTATAAACGCTGGCTTGCGTAATACTCAAGATATTGGCGGAATATTTACAAGTTTAAATCATTAATCGTGTGAGCACCTAACCTGGCACTGACGTGCGCACGCCTTTATTATATTCATTGCTACGATGTGGTTAGAAAGGCCAGACCGCGATTCGCTTGTTGGTTAAATCAATTGCGCTTAGATTCGCGAAAAGTTAATCATATATATGTTTCGTCGTAAATAAAATTATATAAATTTTATAAAACGTTTAATATTTTACGTAACAGTCAGATTATGTACATCATCTTGTGATGATTTAATATAGAGGTAAACAATTTTATTACATAAA